GTTAACTTCTGTTCGGCGCCAGTGTACCCGTCCAAGGGTATAACCTTTGGTGCGTTTCCCCTCCGTTCCCGCGTCCTTCTACCAGACAAATTGTACCACTTTGTACCATGAGAAGAAACAAAAATCCTGACATTCAGCCACAGTCCGCAACGACGCAAAAGCATTCCGCTTCTGCAAATCGAAATGCCACAAGAACTTCAAAATGAAGCGTAACCCGCGCAAACTCGCCTGGACAAAATCCTTCCGTCGCGCACACGGCAAGGAAATGACCGTCGACAGCACCCTCACCTTCGCCCAGCGTCGCAATATTCCCGTCCGCTACAATCGCGACCTTATTCAGACTACGCTCAAGGCCATGTCGAGGGTATCTGAGATTAGGGCACGAAGGGAGCGCGCATTCTACAAGACGCGCATGCGCGGCAACAAGCAGAGGCAGCGCGAGGAGGATAGGAAGCTGGTCGAGGAGAACCAACACTTGCTTCCGCCGAGTGAGAGGTTTGCCAAGGAGGCAGTTGAGGAGGAGGAGATGGAGGTTGATCTGCAGAAGGTCAAGGACAAGGTTGCGGCTAGGAGAAAGGAGATTGCGGCTGAGGAGAGCGAGTTGGATAGCGATCTAGAGGAGACGCTACCCAAGACGAAGAGCAAGAGGAAACTGAAGATGAAGGTTGGCGGTGGCGTCGAGGCCATGGATGTCGACGACTAGATATACTGGCAAAACTTGCATCGACCATGAGATGGACTCATAGTGTCCAAGGAGTTTGGCGTCACGAGCTAATGGTAGTTCATGGTCATGAAATTCAACACTCTGAAACTTTTCACTTGTTCATCTCCCCAAACCATGTTCACTCCGCATTGAGGTTCTCACTCAAGAGGATACCATACACCACTAACAAGCACTGCATCGTAGTCCTGAGTCCACTACATCTATGTTGCTTCCTCGCAACAGCTCATAACCTTCAATGTATCTAACCACACTTCAAGCAAGACCCATGACTTGGTCCAAGGGTAAGTAGACTTATTTTATAACTGGGAGTTACTCCACACTTGATAATGATGATGATGATGATGATGATGATGATGATGATGATGATGATGATGATATCAACTCGCACTGTCGCACCCAGCCCAAAAAATACCCTTCTACTAGGACAGTCGTGAAGACATGCCGGGAAAGACCTGCGAAAGCCGATCAGTGATAGATTTGAGGGATTGGAACACAGATGTTTGTGCAGAGGCAGCTTGTATGGGTTGACTTCTAATATGCTTGGGTTCCAGAATGTGCGACTGTTGCGCGTTGTGCTTTTGATGACTTAGAGTATTCGAGAGTCGCAAATGGACGAGTTCGGGGCTGTAATGCGGGTTCGTGGACCAAATACTACGGTTCACTGCCAGTTGCATTGAAACTGTAGTGGAGGGGAATGATGGTGGGTATCTGCAAGCCACATTTGCTTGGTATCTCATTAGTAGACAGCTTTTCAGACATTTTTCGCAGCTTTGTGACGGTGTTGAGTATATAACTTGTATTCTTGGTACGAAGAATACACAACGTAAATCCCACGGGGCTATCATTAGCATTAATAGAGACAATTATGCCCTAGTTTAGTGGAAACCACGTGTAAACAACATTAAATTTCATATTAAAAAAGGTAAGATGCCTTTTATCTTATTCGCTAGCATGTACACAAAGTCGGACACCAACCTCACTTTTTGTTCCCATGTTTGAGTCGCAGGATCATGCGTTTGCTGGAAGCGAACATGACTGTTCATCATTGCATGCTTTCGCTGTCGAATAAAAGTTTGCTTCGGCCCTCCATACCGATATCCACAGCATTTGCTACGCTCTTGACCACCCCTGAATGGAAAAATGCCACGCCTAGCTCTTGACTTGTGAACCAGCTGGCACGGTCGAGATTTCCAGACCCTAACACAAGCACTTCATTGTCGACAATCGTCATCTTGAGATGACTCTGTTGTGGTTCACCACCTTCTTGTCCTCTTTTCTTTGACCCACCGATGGGCTCAAAGTACGCGACCTGGAGACGCCCTGGCCTGGTACTTGCAATTGCGGCTTCCTCGTCGCTTTGGGGTCGTTGTGAGTTTGATGACGTAATTGATCGGTAACGCTTAATTAGTGTTTGGATACAACGAGAGGTTGTTGTCCCGGCTGTGACGAGCTGTTCAAGTATCATAAGCCGCTCTGAAGTCAAGATTTGTACATCTACACCTCGTGCCAAAGCTTTGAGTAAAGCTGAAAGTACAGGTGGTGCGGTAACATTTGGCGTTTGGATACGGATGCTCCTTTCCGCTTTTGCAAAAAGAGTCAGCACAAATGTGTTGAGTGGTGTGGGAGGTGCAACGACAGCATCGGAGGATGCAAAGAAGCTGAAATGGGGGTTTCTTCGATGCGGACTAGGAAGGAAAACAGTTTGTACGTGGCCAAATTCGACCTGAACAAGAGACTTGAGCGCGCCTTGCTCGACGATCTGAATCGCATTGGGTTCATTGCTGCTAGGGAGCGCAGGACCTTCCTCTCGCTGATCCCAAAATCTGTGATAGAATCTCACAAACTGCTCCACAACAGGCCCACCTAGAACAAAAGCACCCTCGAACCATTCTTCCCAGCTGATGTTGCAGCTCGGCAGGATTACTGTTTTTCGATCAATGACCACGAATTTGGGGTGCATAACGCTAAAAGGGAGCATGAATATGGATTTGATCCTGATGTCCAGGCCTCCAAGCTCAGAGGGATCTGGTAATCCAAGCTTTTTTACCCATACTGCCATCGGATAGGCTTGTCCAGTGGCAGATTGGGTGTGAAAAAGTTTCTGAAACAAGGACGATGATGAGAAACATAGCCGAACACGGATTTTGTCTGTTCCTCTCCTGACTGCTTTGTCCGATAGACTCCGCAGGACAGCATTCAGCGATTCAAGTGATGCTGAACGTGCCCAAAAACATGTGACAAGAATGAGCTCCTGATGTGCCTCTCTTAAGAGCGGGTTCAGAGCTTCGTAGATAGCTGATCCAGTTCCTGTCATGAAACTACCCGTGTTGGATACTGTAAGAAGAGACCGCGGATAGCGGGCGTAGTAGTTAGGGTCATCGAGGACGTTGACAGGGGCAGCAGCATCAAGGGCAGAAATGAACGGTTCATTGAAGTGGGTGATGCTGGCAGATGGAATATCTGATGACATTACGATAATCGCGATACGAAGCTGCTGTTAACAATGAAACACGCTGAACGGAGGAAGTCAGTTCGATGTAGCGCGTCTATTAGTCCACGAGATGACGTCGAAGTATGGCCGCGACTTGCTATGGAGTTGACGCGCCGAGCTAGACTGAAAGTGGTTAGAGTAGACAAGGATCGTCATGGAAGCTTCAATCCCCGCCAAAATAATTTCAAGAGCTCCATCAAACTTGCGACCAGCAACCAAACACGACCCGCCAAATAGACGATTGCAATACCCCCACAAGAACTTAGTTCTCCAGCAGTTACGTGCTAAACCGTCGGAAGTGTTGTAGGCCGAGCCGCGGCCGTTTAAAAGCGCCTGACACCATCATGCCAGTTTCCATCCTTCCACCCAGCGCATTGCTTCCACCTCGTCGCGATGCACAACCAGACGATTCCGATGTCGACATGTCCGACGATGATGTTCCAATGTCCACAGATACGAAGTCTATCGTCACTCCTGGCGAGCACATCACCTCAGATCCGCAATGGATGCGTGGCCACGGTACCTACGTACCTCCAGACTCGAGCACCATCATTTCAACTGTCGCAGGCCACCTGCACAAGACCAATAAGCTGCTCTCAGTGCAACCACTTCGTGCGCGCTATCAGCCTGAAATTGGCGATTTGGTGATAGGAAGAATTGTGAGCGTGCAGACGAAGAAATGGAGTGTGGATATTGCGGCGCCCATGCTTGCGAATTTGCCATTGAGCAGCATCAATCTGCCAGGTGGTATCTTGCGAAGGAGAACAGCAGTGGACGAGTTGAACATACGAACTTTTTTCTCAGAAGGCGATTTGCTGGTCGCCGAAGTGCAGTCGCTACATCAAGACAACACTGCGTCTTTGCACACACGATCGCTAAAATATGGCAAATTACGAAACGGCCTATTCACGAGTCTGACTGGTGCGGGCGGGGGTATACTTTCACGAAGAGGTGGTGTAGTCCGGTCACGAAGACAAGTATTCACACTCAACACGGCTGCTGGAGAGATCGATGTTATCCTTGGTGTCAATGGCTACATCTTCATCTCCAAACACATCACTACAACCGCAGACCCAAAAGAGATTGGTATTAATCGGCTCGATGAGAGTGTAACCGAGACCCTCTATTCGAGTCAGAACGACGATATTGAGCCTGCTGTTATGCGGGAAATTACTCGTGTTAGCACCCTAATCAGGGGACTAGTTGCCTGCGGAACCAAAGTTGACGAAGACATGATTGTCAAAGTCTACGAGGGAGCAGTGGAGCTCGAAGCCGAAGAACAGAGTCTGGGCGGTGTAGATACGGGTATCGGAGCCAAGGGCATAGTCGAAGCCGTACTTGGCCGGCTGGAGCTTGAGGCTGGTGGGTGAGGAACAGGGAGGTCGTCGAACGGTATGTTAGACTACGAAGCATCGAAATGGTATCTATCGAACAGATCTAGACCCACTCCCCCGAACGGGAGTGCATTGAACATCTCCCGACGTCCACCCGGGCATCGCCAGCTTCCGAAATGAGTCATGTGTACGGTACGCGGAAATCCCGTTCCGTCAGGGCGGCCGCCTATTGGCCTTCGATTTTAGTACATGCGCCTCAGGCGTGCTGTGTGTTGAGAACAAAGAAATGTCGTTATAACTCCATGAGCGGGGGCCAATGAGCCATGCTTGAATGTGCGGTCTGTAGCAGTCGCCCAAGTAACAGAAGTGGCTGTCAGCATTTGTGTGTCACTTGCACAAAGAATAAATGAATGAAGTGGATGGAGAATTAATAGATATTCATTTCATACTATGTGCACATTACTTCCCCTTACTGATATGTTTGGTACCATTTAGTACTCTTGTGCACCTGTAATTAGAAAACACGCAGGTATCAGATCTATCCTTAGAACTATGTAGGAAGTAAACACCCCGGGAATTGGGAAACAAGCAATGTGAGACGTGTCAATCTAGCTTTCCAGCATCAGCAATCCCTCTCGTTCCAGTCTTCTAAGACTGTCAATGTCCCCACCAGCCTCCATGACGGCTTTCATGGCGGCCTGGCTGAGCTTGCGCCTTTTGTCGGCGGCTTCTTTCTCGCGGCGCGCTTTGGTCTTGCTGCTCCCGCTTGGTGCGACACCAGTGAGGATTTTGCGGCTGTCGTCCGGGGTGAAGTTGACGAAGCCCGATCCACCTGTTGATGGTTGTCGTGAAGATGATTGCGACCCATTGCTCGATTTGCGACGGCTTGACGCTGTGCTCGAATGGCTTGCGCGATGATGATGTGAATGCGACTGCCCAGATGGTCTGCGACGATGGAAGCGGGGTTGCGGAGTGGGTGACGGTGTTCGTGACAATGGTCGATGACCAATGTTGACAATGTTTTGCTGCGGTGGCGTGTACATGGTTGTGTAACCGGCCATGTCGAAAGACGAGGCTGGAGCACCGGGCATGGTAGTCTCGCCCACACTGACGCCGAGGCCTACAGCACCGAAATCTCCAAAGGCTGCAGTATCGCATGAAATTCCTAGGTCGCTCATTGGTGCAGCGAGGCCCATATTCTGGCTTGATGATCGCGTGCCTGACTCGCGGAAGTTGGATCCAGAGTGATGAGTCGAGTCGTCAAACCAATTGGCCGTCTTAGTGTTGCAAAAATCAGGCGATGTCGAGAATCCGAATTCGAGAGTGGGCGATGTATCAGGACCCCATGTTGTCATGGGTAAGCGGGCAGAAGGAGGAGGAGTGTGCATGGCGGAGAGAGCCGCGCTTGACACTGAGGAGCTATAGGTCAACCCCATGCTGTCGTGGAAAGAACTATTGCTGTGTGCAGATATACCAATGGCAGGAGAAGCTTGCGGTGTTAACTGGTAGTTGACAAAATCCATGTTTGGTGTGTGTGGGTCAGTGTTGTCGAGGGGCGAGCGGTCGGTTCCATAAGGCTGGTGATCCTGAGCGAAGAAGCCGTTACTGTTCTCATGCTGGACAATTCTTGCAGATGGAGGAGGCGATGTTAGGTCATTTGGTGGTGCTTGCAGGTGAATTGAGTTCGTGGTGTCCATCTTGCGAGACCAGACTTCCGGGATTGGCGTCCGGTAGTACGAAGGCTGCATCATCTTGGTGAATGATGTGGATGCAGACTTTTTGGGTAACTTTTGAATACCACGGGGAGCCGTGCGGTCGTTGAATGACACGGCCTTTTTGACTGTTCGAGGGGTGTGGGGTCGGGGTGTGGAAGGCTGGGAAATGGAACGCAACTGGTTCAAGTCCCGGTCCAACTCGAAAATATCCTCAAAACTCAACAATTCTGAGTCGCTGAGAGATTCTTTACCTTTCGAATGAATGTAAAAAGAGGTGGAACTATCAGGCACGGATGACGTTGGGTTTTGTTCGCACTTCTGGAGAGCCTTATGCCAAGCATCCGCTGTGTCCCGATTGAGCATAGGCGAAGACGAGGTGCCAAATAGGTCGCTCTCATTCGACAGAGGAAGTTCAAAGAGATCCGCAAGATCATCAGAGCTGGACTGGTCGGCCGTGGTATGGAGCTGCTGTAGAAATTCTGTTTCAACATACTCCTCAAAGAGTTGGTCCAGGTCGGCCACTCCCATCTCTTTGTCGCTGATCTGCCGCATCGGTAATGGCATGTCCAAAATTGTGCGAAGTAGCGATACCATGAAGTGCAACTTTCACGTGTCCGTGTGTGTGTGTGTGTGTGTGTGTGTATGTATGTGACCAGGTAGCTGGTAGCAGCGTGGTTGTAAACAGCAAGTATTGGCGGTGAGAGGCGAGAGAACGCGGTGAATGTAACGTGTACTTGTACCTTGCAGGTAAGGATGCAAAGTAGTGTAGAGTATGTAGGAACAACTCTGTGATGCGCCAATGATGCAGGAGACAAACATGCTAAACAAACCTGTCTACTCGATATATACTGTTGCGTCCCAGATGGGCAGAGTTCCTGCCAGCCTCTTCATGTGTAGACGCATTCCAGCCATATTTAGCGAATCAGGGCGGAATGGACGATGTCCTAAGCCACAGCCCTTATGTTTCAGGGAATTTTGAGGCGTTCGCACCGTCCAGAGTACCAAGTGTCCGAGTTCGAAAATCTGGGGTGGTCGGGCAATGCGCAACGAAGATTGGTGCATACCGGATGCAGCCACCATTTACTAGTCTAGGTTACATTCTCGCGTGCGTTGCCCAGCCGCATGTTCCTGTTACACAACAATTGACTTGTCTGCCTTCTTTGTCAACAGCCTGCAACTCTTTTTGCACACGGAGGGTCGCCCTGGCAGAAATTTTGTAAAGGCGGCCTCACAGTGGTTTGGAGATACGAAACCTGAAAGTCGCTATACAAACTTTCCAGGGTCAGCGTTTCGAAAGTCTTGCAGTCGCTCAGTGTTGGACGTACCGGTATCATCGCGGACCTGCCACCCAATTTTACCGAGAGTCTGGAATGCAAATTTCATACATGCCGCAAGCAGGCCACCAGCCCACGAACATCCGTTAAGAATTGTAAGTAATCAGTGAAGCGAAATGACAGGACGAATAAACGAGAAAGATACAGGTAAGAGAATTCGATACTAGAATGAGACTAGTGAAAAATCCACCTGAGCGGAACAAAGATCTTCATCATGATCCCTGCGGGCTGACCTCGGAAACTTGACATCGGGAGCTTGCGAGGCTTTGGCCGATGCAACTAGCGGTACTACTCAGTGGGAGTGCCGCGGTGTGTTGTGTGGTGAACGGCAGCGCATTAGAGCTGTAGTTCGCATGAGGTCTGTTTGGATGAATCACGTGACTTCACATGACCGATCGGCCCAATGTTTACTATGGATCACTAACCTCCAATCGCCCTAGCTCAGGAAATAAGACATCCAGATCGACAGCGCTAACATTGCTCCTCTTTTCACGACCTCCATTCGCAATAGCTTACCCTACATTTTACCACAGCAACGCTACCTAAGTCATTACTCATTCGCGAAGTATGGCGCAATCGCCTCATGGCCCGTTCAATTATTCTCGCCGGAGGAGTCTCACGTATCGTAACTTGTATCTCATATGTATGAAAGTTTCAAAAAGGCGAAATGGCCACCAGGAGCAAGTCTCCCGCCTTCTATTGGTAACCTGTATGAGACACTAAGGGGCGTTCTGTGGATGATTCGACGCAACATGAACTACTCCAAATAATCCTCTTATGGTTGTCGACGTTGGTGTCATAATTGTCATCCTAATCAGGGGCCATGATGTGACGAACAACTTACGCCATGGGAAGCCACCATCTGTAGTAACAGTACCGTAGTCTGGCACCGATGATCAGTTGATCGGTGCAAGTGAAATGTCAACCATTCTCTGAGACTGACTGAGGTGGATCATGAGAAATGATCTCACTTGCAAGGGCCAGCAAATCAAGTTCAACGCTATGGTGGGGAAAACCCATCGCACCAATGCATCGAGGCCACCATTCTGAGCTTCCGTGCATCCCCATGCTATACGCCTGTCCAGACTACAGACTACTTGGAAAGCAAACAAATCCTAAGAAACCTGCTCGATTCTGGTGATCTTCCACGTGAGTCTGAGTTACACAGCCACGAGCAACAAATGCTTCGCGATCTTCATGGTCGGCCAACTCAGTATTTGGAATGCTAATTCTATGTCTTGCCTCAATTCTCTGCGCACACCATCCTGGAAGAAGACTGCCGAAATCTATTTTTCTTATCGGTAGACTGACCCACGACCAAGGTACAGGATGCCCTATAAGTTGATGAGTGGAACTGGGCCAAGCACTTCAGCCTCGCAAAACCGTGCGCAAGAACACCCGACACATGATCTCTGTACACCTAGTGTGAAGATCTTGGGAAGCTATGCGGTGCGGTGGTGATCTAGAGATGGCAGGCCTCCCGCTACAGGTGTTCACCCCCGCTCAGTTGACTGGTTTAAAGTGGATCCCTAAGCACAGAATGGTTCCAATGACGTTGATGACCTAGATAGCCTCTTAATTTTCACTAGTCTTCATCAAGTACCTCTCGGTCATGCCGTAGTCGAGAGCACTAATCACAGGCGCCACCGGGTGTTCAGTGATGAACCCCACAAGAATAGCCGAGCAAGCCACTACAACGGCTGCCTGCTACCGAAAGATTCGATCATGGCAATTTTCAAGTCTTTGAGAGGTAAATGGATCAATACGGTTATACATCTTAGCCCTGACCTGAATGTGGAATAGAAAAAGTCGCAATGAGGTTTACCTCGAATGCAGCTAATGCATATGTGCCGCACACTTCATCGCTCCCGAGCATTGTGTACAAGCCATTGGTGGAAGAAAGGGCGCTGCTTTGGTGATGACATGTTCATAAGCATCTGTGTTTTGCCGAGCGCCTGTAGCAGTATGCAGACCTTGAAGCGAGACCCAAATGAACATTATTTTGAGCCAGCTCAGCATGCCTATATGGTGCATCTGCTAACTGATGCCCGAGCAACGGATGCATAGGGTGAGTTGGGGATAGCTCGAACAAGTTTATCGCTCAATTTTGTCATCATGTCCAGTTTTTTTGAAATTCAACAGATGATTGACGACAGCGCACGTAAACAACCGACATCCGTAAGATAACGGTTATGGTGGGAACAGGATGATGAGTTTTGCGATAGTGGGATGAAATTTCATGAGACCAGAGTTTCGGGAGACGTTCTCTTTATCATCTACGTTTTCATGCGATATTGACTAAAGCAGTTTGTGAGCTACCTTCATACTTTTTTGAAGTTTTTCACTGATCGCTCCCACTTGTGCCTTTCAGATGAGCCTTAGTTGATGTGCTTGCGTAGGCTTAAGCGATAGGCGAACATGAAATGTTGACCTTTTGTACTTGCTCGCTTGCTCGATGAAGCAGATTGAGATGAGGCTAAAATGATCGTCATGCGACTTTATTTTAGCGCAAGATTAATGCTTTTGCAGGCTGAGACGATTCGCGAACTTAGGTCCATTGAAAAAGCTGACTCGGTTGCCGCTGTTCGTGCATGGTACTCATGCTCGACGTGCGCCCGAGAAGGAGAGATTGTGCCATTACGGTATAAATCGCCAACTTCCGCACAAGACAGAGGTGAGTCGTTATGACTGGTGATATACAAGATTTGTATGAAAAGGCTGTGGCCCAACCCTGTGGCTTGGACCCTGTGGCGGAGCGATAAAAAGCAGGACGGGATACGCCAAATTTCAGGCCAAAAGTTGAGTCTAGGGCCTGTAGCAGAGCTGATCATCCAGTGGTAAATCCCTCGAATTGGAGATTCGGTAGCGTACCTTCTTTCAACTGACACGTTTAGCTGCCTAGACCATAGCTAGCGATCGAAGATTTGCACAGTCCAGTAGAAGGAGGAAGGGCCAAAATCCTTATTTGATACAAACAGGTGGCACTTCATTTTCCAGAGAACAACTCTTCTTACTATAGCTCATGTCTGAATCCTGATTGTAGTATGGGTTGGATAGAGGCCGATCCTTCAGTGGTGCATCGTCAAAGTTGCAATGATATCAAATAGACATGAGAACGGCTGTACCTTTGAACTTTATACGTGCGGCAGCTGTTATAAGTATGATAACAGGCAGGTGTTCTTAAATGTTACCAAATCCCTCGAGTGATTTGCAATTCGCATATTGGCTGTGGACTTTGGGGGTGTAGTTGCAACTTACACAATGCTCGGGCTGTATATGGAAGCACTGGTTTGGATTCTTAGGTAAAGCACAAGTGATCAGCAACCTTGAATTCACGGCTAACTGAATGGCGAGGTTATTTCTGGGGTCCAACAGTTCGGTCGTTGATCCCGTGGCATCTTGCCGTATATCCAGTGTATCTAGACTCGAGAGATATTCAGCTATTTAAGCTAATACGGAAACACGGCATGATAGAACTTTGTGGCTTGTTAGTACAGGCGAAATAGGCCCCGTCATTACCCAGGTAGCCTATGTTAGCTCATCCTCGCGGTACGCGCGAACCCCTCCGTACCGCTGTCTCTTTGAAATGGCATGCGCTTGTGGCAAAAAGTGGCTCATTAGAACAAAGTGAGCGGTCTCATTGGACCACGAAATGCCTCACAGGCTGATTAACATATCAGTGTCGAAAACTATCGGGATTGATCGTCTGTCAGTGGAACAGGCTGCAAATCCAACTTTGGAAGTTAGAAATCATGGAGCAAGATCGAGGAGCCGAGCAATATGCACTATCCGCTCGATCGAGCATTATCCATGCAGTCCCACGAAGAGATAATGGACATTCTCTATCTCACATACGATAACCAGTGTCTCTCCTGATAGGTAGATGTCCGGTTCATAGCCCTTCAAGACCCACCGGATAGCTCACTTGCGCCACATCATATTGCTCTGGTCTAAGATAGTTCTGGCAGGTGCATCCTTGTATTCGGCGGCAGACAGGTTCCTCATACCCAATGAAATAGGCACGAGTTTACCCAGCTTGAATTGACGTTGCATGCTTGTACGTTCGGCCCAGGCGCGCGATTTAGGATGTCTTTTCGCCGGAAACGGCCTGTCAGGGCCACAACGCCGTATCCCCCGCAACACCGAGTCCATGCAACTGGGTATTGACAATCGAGAACTGCAGTTCAGTAGTTGCGGAACAGAAGCGGAATAAATGTAACCTGTATAGCGACGACCTTGGCAGCTCTCACGGAGTTATTCGGTCAGCTTAGCGAGGTCTCCTTTGGGTAAATGATCTCTGGTGATGAGGCTAACATCAATCAGTGTCTGATACCTTGTGTTGGCTCAAGACAGCATGGCAGCCGAGACTGCGCGATGGCATGATCAGCGTTGGACGCAAAGATAGATGAAATCGAAATCCATGGTGTTGTTGCGGTGCACAGACCACATGGATCGGCACAGTCTAGGTAGCAACATCATCGCGTGCTGAAGTTCGCGGAACACGGTACGCATCGTGTGAGACAATTGCCTCATGAAGTCGTTCATACTCTTCTCTTGAACCAAGACCGGAGTTTGCCACTTCGCTGCATCGTGATGGATCCTGATATGCCAGTTCTCAACGAGGCCCAGCCTTCCGTCTTCCGCTGGATCTTGGGGTTTCTAATGGGTATGTCACCTCTGCCAGTCCATTCGTAGTAAAAGAGCATGTGACTAATCTTGAGTGTAGTGGGTGTGTGTTGGGGTCTAACTACACCCTTTATGCGGAAGGCCGCTATGTGAGTCCTGTCTCTGGAGCTTGTCTACCCAATGCCTGATGCACATACAACCTAGGAATTACACGCCTCCCCAGCGATCATCCCTTACCGAACCGAACAATTCATGGATACAAAGAAAAGTACTAGGCATATGGTATGCTGTAATTGGTGTATTGAGTCGGCCAGCTTATGCAGTGCCCCTCTTGTTGAATGTTACTGGTAGTGTATGGTTCTTCATCTTGATTGGCAAGGCGGAGCTGAGCCTTACTGTGCCCATCACCAATTCTCTGGCATTCCTCTTCACAGTTTTAGGGGAATGGTGGGCAGAGAAGAAGGTCATAAGTAGAGGTCAGCCATACTCATATGAAAATATTCATTGAAAGCTAATACATGACAGACACTTGGATAGGCATGGCATTCGTGCTCGGGGGTATTGGTCTC